AAGGGGGATCCATCAATGCACGTGGCCGGAACGCTCGATCAAAACCTCTGTTTAATAGTTCAATAAAGACAATTTTCACTTTTTGTAGGTAGGAAAAACGCATTTATTGACACCCACATCTAAGGTTTGTTATGGTTCAACACACCACACTTCATCCACTATTTAACTCACGAGGTTTTGGAATAATATTGGAATGAAATATTGTCTAAAAGGACACTACACAGGATTCTAAAAAACTTCGGTGAGCTAATCATAATAAAATTCATTTTTTTTCGACAGACAGACTAACTTCTTTCAGAATTTCTGTGTCAGACAGGATTACAGAGTGGCTATCTGGAGACAAACAATCTAACAAAAACAAAGAAACAAAGAAGGCACAAAAAACCACACAATTAATCACAAACAATCTTTTTAATGTGATCCTTAATGACTGATAATGAACAGCGCTGGATGTCCTAACCTGATCGTTACACATAGTCTTAGAATTTAAGGGGAAAAAGAATATACACAGAAACTTCTAATTCATAAATATATATATTTGTTGATCCAGCGCTGTGCCAGCTTTATGCCAGGAGATCTGGAAAGGTCGATATACAGGGAACGATATTGAGGTTTGATCCACCTTTTCGTCAAGCTCATTTTAGGTAAACAAAAGACATGAACTTTGTTGGATCAATCAAATCTCAAACCAGATCCCAATTTACATATCAGTTGATGATGCAATCGCTTATTATGCTTTATATACTTATAACCATGAGGACAGATTGTGTGAAATGGGGGAAAATCATTGATTGTCTTTGTAAAAAATGGTTTCCATTCGGTCTGTTATTTTTGAAAAGTTGTAAACCGAGACCAAGTTTGTACAGATTGTGTCCTATACGTCGACGGATGTGAGTACATCAGTGGGTTTTCTGTCTTAACTAATCCTTCTATAGAGCTGGTAATCCCATCTCACAACGCTGAGATTAAGGTTCCTTATGTAGATAAAATGAAATGCTCCTCACTACCACTGATCTAGCCACACCGTTCCGTTCACAACTTTGCAATAATAAATGAAACATAGCAGGCAACTTGGTGTCTTATGCCGCAGTGCAGGGAAGTCCCATCATTACTTACATTTTAAATCATTAAATGATCTTCATTATGAAGCGCCTTTAAGACTCCACTTTGCCAACCACGTATCATACACATTGATTAACTTGTTACCAAGTATTTTGTTGGACTGTATATGGAGGTACGTACCCCCTAGCAGCACAGCCGGCCCGGGAGTGAGCATAATGAATTAATCGCTTCCTTCCTCTTGACTAACGTCGATTACGCACACTAAGTGGTGGCGAGACTCAGGGGTACGCCACCTCCGCCTCTCCATCCCGCATTAGGTTGCCTTTTGCAAAACATGGATTGCACAAATTGCAAGACTGAGGTTTGTTCATATAAGGCAGGATAATCTCATTAATTCGACAGGGATGTGGCCGGTGACCAGAAAAAATGAAAAAAATAACCGTCCAGTATTACTTGAAGGTGCAGGTATGATAGTCCTACTTGGCCATTTTCCCTATTTCTTGGAAAAGGAAAATGACCCTTAATGAGTCTGATGGGTTAGAACTATAATACCACAGCTACTTATGGAAGTACAGTTGATAAATAAAAACTTGTGATTATCGAGATGTATCTGACGAAATCAACAACTGCTAAATCGTTTAACTATTTCTTGTCAGTCACCAAACCTTTATGGTGAAACTTGGTATCGCTTTGTGTATTTCAGAACGCTTAGCTCAGCCACAGTTTTATTCGTCATTTCATAGCAGCTTTCACGCTTCAGATCACACCTAGCTGGACTATCCCTGCGATGAATGGGAAATGCACAGACGTTTCACAGACTGTCGCTCACAGACGCTCGTTCCAACCCACAGAGAATCGGGTCTTTTGAGCTCTGACCGACACCTGGCGAGATCACCGTTCAGATTAACTATCTTCAAGTACAACAAGAAGGAGAAACATTCGAATAAAAAAAGAAAGAAAAAAAGAAATATTACTTTCAGGGTAAATATATAATAATTTACATGCAACATCTGCTTCCACTGGGAGGGAAATCCTATATCTTTTCCCCACATGATTTAGATTTTTCTCGTGGGATTACAACCTCACCTGTGACTCGGCGCTCACAGGACGCCTCACACGTGACCCATAGGAAATCCAGAATTAGCTTAAAGTCTTATTCCTTACGCTCTACAACGAGATATTAGCCTTATGGAAAGCCCTGTCGATTTGTCATTCACTTCCACTATAGAGTTCATGTTGCAGCACCTCTGTGAACCTCGTCCGCTTGATAGTCACTACATGTCATCATCATCAACCACGCTCTCTCCAGGACAACTATATATATGTGAAAAATCAACGAATAGAATTTTATGGGTACTTTTAAAAACTGGGTGACTTTTATGGTACAAGTACCTTAAACAACAAAACAGATTGAGGACATAACCGGGGGAGACTTATGTCACCATGACGTCATCAGACGCCGCTCACCGGTAACTTGCACTGTCAACACACCGGGTCTCACGCCGGCGCGGCTTCTACCAACGAACAACTTAATATACAAAAACAATTTCCTACTTAAACAAACATCATGCTGTTGATAACGTGAGACGTATTCAGGTAATGCTACTAATTTATGGTAAATGGGCGAAAATATCAATGGATAATAATAATGATAATAATAATAATAATAAAAAAATAATGATATTAACAACAACAATGGTAATAAAATTATTATTTGTGGTGATAATAACAATAGTAATCATAATCATAACGATGATGATAATAATAATAATAATAATAATAATAATAATTCTAATGAAGTTATTCACAGATTTAAACTCATACTTTTCATGGGATCGTCTTTCAGCTAAACAGATATGGATCCTGCCACCTCGAGTTCAGAAACAAGTAATCTCGTCCCGTATTGTGTGAAGCTATTTTTCTCGAAAATGAAAAAAAAAAGAAAAATAGAAAAAAAAGGAGAGAGAACCAAAAATGCAAATCATATCATATTTCGAATCAAAATTTGCATCAGATCGTTACCCCAGGTTAGCAGCGCGTCATTCAGGATAACTCTCATTCCCACTACAAATGGAAAACATAAATCACTTATGTAAGCTTGATTCCACATCCATAAATATGGGATGGATGTAGCCAAGCAAAATTAGCATATCAACGCGTCATACTTGCGAACAAACACGGGATTCGGTTCACTGGCCATCGATAAAGACATTACTTTTTTTCTTTCTTTTTTTTTTTTTTTTTTGCAAGTTCGGGAAGTATGAATAACAAAAATATGCTACTGAAAGGATGTCTAGTCTGAAGTGAAGCAGTGTCGTTTGGATGTGATTGCGCGCGTTTAAAATTCTATCCGGGGAAAAGTGAATAAAAGAAATGGATTTTGATTTTCACACAAATTCGTTTTTATGCGTTGTCCCTGCTCTCTAAATGTTTCTATGGCCGAATGCCTATGGCTGATCAGCGAGCGGAACTTGTCCCTTTGTTAAAAATTGTAGTATTGAGGTATTCTTATAATTCCCTCTTTCCTGTCGAAGGAAAGGTTGGGAGGAGGGGGGGGGGGCAGATTGTCGAACGAAGTCAAGCCAGTTAGACCGTTTGTAACGAGGAAAAATTTGTAATAATCTAATCACGGTAATTGAGTTTATCCGCTGTGCTTCGATATGACGTAAGAAAGCACTTCGGCGACAGTACGTCTGTATACTGATACATCCGTACACGTGTATATGCGTACATATATTAGCAATTACGTATATAATTTACAGCTGGATGTCAACATCAAAAACCGAATTCTAATAATGATCTAAAGGCTTAAAAAAAACTACATGTAAACACGGACCCTGTGGCGTTTTATGAACGACAAAAAGCGACATGAAAAAGGAAAAGAAAATCTCTCCCAGAGATAAAAAGTCTCCGGCGACACAATTACCATTACCGGTCACATGGAAAATTTGAACAAATCGTTTGGCGAGGAAGACCATCTCAAATGTCACTCTCCATCCACCACAATAGTTCTCGGAGCCGTGATCCCTCCCCCTTCCCCCACCCCTTCCCCCTCTAGGGTAGGGAGGGAGCGGGGGTATAGGCGAGCAGGGCCCACGACGGACTCTACTGTGAGGGAGAGTGATGTGTTCAAGTACTCTACTATTAGCCGTATTTTTTTAGTGGTATAAGCGATTTAGAATTAATGTTATAATAGCAAATGGATTATGTCATTTGTATGATTTATGTTATTTTTCCTCTCTCTTTTACGTGTTTGGAATGTGTAGTGGTACAGACACCGAATACTGTAATGTTTGAACTTACTATTAGTCAGATGTCCAGATGATTCTCTCAGAAGCTGGGAAAAAATATATCCGTGAAAGTTGAAATCACGACTTTTAATGAAGGTCAAAACGTTTCTGAATTCATCATTTTGTTGATTGTCACAGACGATCTCGAGTAGGCCATCACCATATCATCATTATTTTTCTTACATTTTGTAATAAACACAAAAGTACAGGCCGAATATTAAAACGAATAAAATACAAATAGTAATAAATTTCACTCGATTACCTGAATACTCTGCACACTAACACCAGTTTTCTTTCTTAAACCCTACAACCAATAACAACTTAAGCTCAAACATGCCCCTCTTGTAGTCACGACTATTGCGTATCCGGACACGTATTAGGACACGCTAATATGTATTTTTTTATTTACCATTTTATTTTTTGTCAGTAATGCCCATGTCTTACGCGCTCTTGACTGGCCGTACGGAAGTCCCCGGGCACAAAAGTGTCCAACCCTTAACAAAGCCAATTGTGGGTCTCCTATATAACTAGGGCCAATCATCTTAAGGGAATATATGTATAGAAATAGACCAATGGGGTTTAAGGTTATCCTTCTGCTGACATTTTCCTCCGTGTGCATCGATCATTCATTGGCCAACTATATACACGGTAAGTGCCGGAACATGGCTTGTCTCGGGGTTCATACGGGGCTAGTTTCTGTTGCCGTTTGGAATTTCTTTGCACATTTCTTTGCACTCTGAAGCCAGCGGATTAGATTCACTTCAACACATTATGAAGGGCTGCGAGAGATCACATTAATCTTGGATGACCGATGCTGAATCCATGGACTAGATGGACATTTCTTTTTAACATTATTTATTGATTGAACAATGAAAAAGTGAAATTAGTTGAGAAATAAAAGACTAGAACTAACAGTCTCGAACATACGTGTGCTGGGTCATGCGGGGAGATTTATCAGTACCCAAGCCACAGTTCTTAGAAATATTTTTAATGGTTACTTGCTAGTCTCACTCGGGGAAAGAGGGGTACTATTTGGTTCTACTCTGTACTATTTGGTCAATGAAGGGTTCACCGGAAAAATCTCATGAATATCATTATTTCATATGGGCATACATCTTTGCAAGGTCAGGGGTTCGACCATTTCACTTGTTCGATCACGTCCGTGTTTTATTTATTTATTAATATTTTTTTTTTTTTGCTTTTCTTTTCAGAGACCGCCTTCCATCAGGGGTCAAGTATAGTCCTTGCGCGATAAGCACTGCGCAAAGTTCCCACCACTGTCACATCGGCAACAAGCAGAGAACAGTTCAGCGTTATGGCATTCTAAATACCTGAAGTAACCTAACCTAAGGGGAGCTTGATCAAAAACTTGGGAAATATATACAAATCTTTAGACAAGTTAACAAGTAAAACACACGAACATTTCATAATAAAATAACAGAGGTTGACATTTTGTAGGACTTATGACTTGAGAGTCTAAATTGTGATTTTAAAGGCCCACAATGTGCCTAAGAGATTCCACGTGGTTCTCCGGCGACACAGCGCCTTGGCATCATCATCCAACCTAGCGAAGCTCGCCACTTGCCGATAGGACGAAACATTTGGTATAATGCACGAACAATAACACGCTAAGAACAACGGGATAAACTCTGGAATCCAAAAGCGTCGTTTTAGGCAGATGCTAGCATCACGCCTCTTCCTCCTCAACCTCGTCCGTCTCCTCCTTGACAGCCTCTTGACTGGGCGTTGGCTCTTCCTGCAAGGTAGAGGATTCCTCCTCCTGCAATGTGACTGGCTCTGTCAGTGTGTCTGGCCGCGGGGAAGGTGGGTGTGTGGAGGCTGGCTGTTGCTCCTCCTCGTTCTCGTCCTCCTGTTCCTCCTTCAAAGAGCGGTTGCGGTTGGCTTCATCGACTGGAGTTGGTTCAATGCGCACTGTTTCCTGTTCCCTTAGACGATAGTCATCTGTCTGCATGACACACACGCCGTTTATAATAACCTCTCGCTCCTTACCTCCCTCACCTGATGCCCACGATGGGTTTACCCACTGTGGGGCAGCGGGCTTCCGTCGAGAGGTCCGTGGAAGGGGAGAGGGGGCTCCTCGGCCGTCACGATCACCGTCTTCCCCTTCAGAACGTCCTCCTCCACTTGGACTCATGGCACCGGACATGTTGGAATCCTCGTCAACAAGTGAAGCATCGTCGTAGTCATTTTCTCCCTTCATAGAAAGGTCAAGACCCAGGCGGGGATTGCCCAGCTCCTGCTGACCCAGGTGTGGGAAGTGCGAGAACAGACCTGGAGGCAGGCCAGGGCCGAGGCCAGGTAGCGTTGGCGGCAGGCCCTTCTCCTTCCTCAGTTCCATCAGTCGCTGCGAGAGCAGGAGGCGGAAGTGAATGGGGTCGAAACTCTGTCCCTGGCCTTGTGGATGGCTTGCTGGTGGCTGCTGAATTTCACGGTTGGGTGAGCTTCCTCCACCGGGGCTGCTCGGGTGCTTGAGTCGCATTCGGTGGTTGTGGAACCAATTTGTGATTGTGCGTGTGGAGAGCTGGAGTTCTTGTGCCAGGAACTCGATGGTTGCCAGATTCGGGTAGGGGTCTAGTGCAAAGGCCAGGCGCAGGGCCTCCTTCTGCTCTTCTGAGAACAAAACCCGTTGCTTCTTGGATGATCCACCAGGAGAAGGTGCCTGGAATATATCTTGGGAGTCTTGGGATACTTCGGCCGTCGGGTCCAGCGCGCGTCGTCGCTTGCTGGCTTCTCGTCGTTCGTTCTTCAGGAGTTGAAGTTTTTCAAGATTTCGAGGATCGTTGAGCCACAGTTGCATGCGGATGAAAGGTTCGCGTCCCTTGATGCTGAGCATGTGCCATGGCTTGGGCTTGCTGAGCAGCTCAGACACTGAACCTTGAGACAAGCCCAGCACTGCTTCGCCAAACAACTACAAGGAAGAAATAAATAAATGATTAATTAGAGTCTAGATAAAAAAATATGTTTATACATATATATATATATATATATACATATATATATGCATGCATGCATACATACATACATACATACATACATACATACATACATACATACATATATATATATATATATATATATATATATATATATATATATATATATTCACATATACATACAAATAAATAAATAAATAAATATATAAAAATATATATATAAATATACATAAATATATATATATATATATATATATATATATATATATATATATATATATATATATACATATATATATAAATGTATATAAATATACATATAAATATATAATATATATAATATATATAATATATATATATATATATATATATATATATATATATATATATATATATATATATATAGAATGTCAACACCAGCACCCTGATTACAGTCTTTTAACCTACTAACAATATCGCATTTACCTTCTGGCCAATATTGTTTGCAAGGAGAGCCTCCTTGATCTTGGTGGTGATGACCTGTGTGTCAAGGTCCTGTGTGAGGGCAGCCATCTCATACACTGACGGAGCTGCTGGTCCAGGGGCGCGCGGCCCGCCTACCCCAGCCTGGGAAAACATAAGAAAAATACACCATTAATTCAGAAAATGTACAACTTAATAAAATATTTTGTTTATATAAACAACACAAACGCAAACTGTATCCGTAATCTCATGTTATGTTGTAACTCACCTTCCTTAGAGGGTCTAGAATCGGCATCCTGGCGTCAAAGGACATGGGATGCGAAGGAAGTGGAAGGCCGCCGAGGGACGGGGGAATCCCCACGGGAGGAAGAGGCGACTCCATGCTCTTCGGGATGTCTGCAGGAAGCTTCATGTGGTGTGGTTTGCTGGTCCCTGCTGCGTGAGGGGAGGAAGAACAACCCGAGTTAGCGTTTGCCTTTTTTCCCTTCTCTATACTTTCTCTCTCTCTTAAATCACAAGAGAATGGCATTGAAATGTGACACATTAGCAGAGAGAGTTTTTTTTTTGCAGCTGATGGCAAGATAGATTGTAGTAGCATGACGACTAAACAAGAGGATATGCTTCATTACACACTCATACTTGATGATGCAGGTTTTATGCTTACTTGTATATGATGGAAGGGTAGGTGAGCCAGAAGTGGACAACCCCCCTGGGAGACACCCTGGGGCAGCTAACCCACCGGGTAGTGGACAACCACCGACTAAATACACTAAAAAAACGAGAAGTAAATGGAATCTGGTTAAAAATCTTTCCTGGGACAAGGGGTGCATAGCGGTGATAACATGTTAGAAAATTGTCTAAACCTGTGCCATCAATTATGAGATGTGTGAGAATTTCAGAAAGTAATGAGACTGGGGAAAGAATTATTACGTTACAGCTCCGTGTTTTTAATTACGTTACCAATAAATATATGAACTAGGTGTCCACTGCTGGCTCATCTAAGAGTTAAATAGCTAAGACTTCGCATGCATTAAAGTGGTGACCATGCAAGAGAAAGGACAGGTCTTGAAAAATACTAATGCATTAGTTAAGTCTGCAATAATGGCAAGCTATGAATACCGGTCAATATTTGGTTTTAAAAGAAATGGGATTACAGGACTAGATGGTAAAGATTGTTAGATAACACTAAAGTAAAGCTACGTGTGAAGATACAAGATGTAAATAGAGAAATATTATACAATCTAACACTTCCATTCGTCATCTCACACACGGAAGCCACGCGCATGTTAAAGAAGGGGAAAGGAAAAGAATTGAAGAAGAAGCGCGTTTATGTACGTATGTAATGCTTACATGCATACATACGAACACGTTTGCATACATTCATACATCACGTACATACATACATACATACATTATACAGTGTAAATATGTGTGTGTGTGTGTGCGTGTGTGTGTGTGTGTGTGTGTGTGTGTGTGTGTGTGTGTGTGTGTGTGTGTGTGTGTGTGTGTGTGTGTGTGTGTGTGTGTGTGTGTGTGTGTGTGTGTGTGTGTGTATATACATGTATATGTATCATCAAAATCATACTGCTATAATAAACAAAGGTAAATCTATGCAGACACATACACAAACAAACACACAAACAAACACACCCTCACGCAAAGAGACACAAACACACACACACACACAAATACAAACAGACACAAACACGCACACACAACCACCCACACACACACTTACGGGGAGGGGCTGTGTATCCTCCGGTCCTCATCAGCTTCTCGGGGGCAATCTTGTACTGCGAAGCCACCAGCTTGTGCACGGCGTTCTCGTCCTCAAGGAACATCTTCATCCTGATGAAAGGCTCTCGGCCCTACGAAGGAATGGCGAAAAGAGAGAGAGAGAAAAAAACATATGAATATTTTTCGTTTTTTTTCTGTGTGCGAATCGGAGGGATAAAATAATGGAATGTAATAAATGGGGGGGAGGGGATAAAATAATGGAATATATAAAGTGAACGTTAAAATACGCGCGTTTTGCTCTTTACCTTCTGTGTCAACATGTGCCATGGTTTGGGTCTAGCCAGGAGGTCGGAGACGGAGCCCTGGGACAGCCCGAGAACAGATTCCCCGAACAGTCGCTGAGAGATGCTGTACTGACTCAGCTGTTCTTTCACCTGAAAACAGAGAAAAGAGAAGAGATTAGTCAAATCATCTACCAAACTACGTAGTCACTTTTAAAACATACGCACAGGAGAATAAAACGTAGAAAAATGCATAATTGCAGTTTACTCCACATGCTGGCTATCTCGAGAGGAAATGAGTAAGCGAGGTCCAATAAGATTTCTGGTGAGTGAAGGCGAAGCGAGTGAGTGAGTAATCCTCGGACGGACGACTAATCCGGATGCGGTGATTGGAAAAAAACGAGCTATGATAGGAAGATTTATTCTCATCTTCAGAAGGGTAAATGACACACGCTTGACTCACTTGTGTCGAGGAAACCAGTCAACGACTTAGTGGGTGGGAGACATGTGAATAAATGCGTGAATAAATAAGTGAATAAAACTGAGATGTTGGAAATAAAAAGTGTGAGGCTGGATAATCGGATTTGAACGTTTACTCAAAGAGCTTAGTATGATACGATAGATAATTATCAATAACCTCCTTGTTCCTTTATAAAATGGCTTATCATATATAAAAGAATCGCAACAGCTACCATTTACATGAAACCACGGAAAACACTGAACAAACGACGTTACGGAATAACAAGCAGCTCCTACGACCATTTCGAGTTTCTAAGAGCGACCCGAAATTACTGTTATATTCAGACAATAAAACTCAGATCAACGTTCTTCAGAATACTCCAGGGGTGAGCTGCAGCGGTGGCATCTGCTTCTTGTGCATTCCCTTGCCGTCTACTATTGCAATTCGAGCAACGGAAGCGGCACACACTCGAGTAAAACCGCGTCGCGCCCTTTCCCTGCCTCCTCCCCCCTCCCTCCCTCCCTCCTTCCTCCTCCTCCTCTCCCCTCCCCCCTCTTCCTCTTTCCTCTCCCTCCCCCTCCCTCCCCCCAATCTCCACGTGGTTTCCAACGGGTGTTCCATCTCGCCCTACGCGCCCCCTTTCCCCCTTCTTCACCCCCCCCCCGTACTTCGTCAAAGTAAAGGGACGTATGCCACCATAAAATTTGTCAGGTTATAATATGACTTGTGCTCTAATTACACACGGCTCATAATTCCTCGTCACTTGTCATTGGGGGTTTTGATCGCACATCCGGTAAGCATGCATGGCATCTTGCGAGGGTTCCCGCGTCTCGTCCCGGCCATCAGATTAAATGCCACGGAGTTACAGCCCTTATTTACATGCGCTTTAAGGTTTGGATTGCATTAATTAGCCTTAATCGTTTATAGGTCGTAAACATTATGTTGGGATGATAATCACTCCCCATATTGATTAACATAATGTTACTCGGGGATTTATCAAGTGCACGTAGCGTACCTAATGATGAGATCCATTAATAAAATCTTAACCATATATATTAACAATCAAAATCCTGGGAATTACAGAGAGCGAAAAGCAGGACACATGACTCGGACGCAGAGACGCTGTCGCTCCAAAGCGCTGTAGGATGACCATCGCGTCTGCAACTCAATGCTGTGCTTCAGTACCGTTTTAATTAAATAATCTCTTTAATCTGACATTCCTGTTTCTCCTAGTGTGAGGAGAACCTTCGTTTAGCACTAATGAGAATACCCACATATGCCAGGCAGACAAGGTGGACTGAAGCGAGTATTCATCCGCCTGGATTTAGCCTTTGCATTTATGAAAACTAACAGATTTCAACATATATATGTGTATATATATATTTATATATAGATACGTATATATATATATATATACGTATATATATATATATATATATATATATATATATATATATATATATATATATATATATAAATGTCACACACACATATATATCCACGTATCTCTCTCTCACTACCAATTCCACGCATAACCCGCCCCGCCGCCCCGCCGATGACCGCGCCGGCAAAGAGCAGCGTTATCTTCCCCGGCCGGTGATAGGCAGCCTCGCGAAGAGTTACCTGTGTTTATAACCGGAGCCTCGCTGCTAATGAGCCCCGTGTGGTAGGCAGGTAAATTCGTTAGGCGGGTGAAGCCTGGCTCTCCTCCTTGTTGTAATTATAGCCATTTAAATATTACCGCAACAATTGGATAAGCATTTCCTACATCTTATTTACGATAATTTCCATTCCACCTCCAACGCCACTTCCTTTCTCATCACTCTGTCCCTCCTCCTCCTCCTCCTCCTCTTCTTTTTCTATCTCTTTTTCCATCTTTCTCCTCTCCGTCGTCCCGCAATCTCTCCTCATTTGCCTTTCCTATCACGAGCGGCGGCTGATATATTGGAGCAACTGCCGAATGGTTTCGCAAGCCGGTGCGTTTTTGTTGTTTTATGCGGTGATTTACTGAGATTCGGGCCTTTGATTCTCGATTCTTTGATCTTCTGAGTCAGTAATCAATATCCTATGTCACTGATTATGGCCCGGCGACCCAAAAATATGACGGGATCTTGCAAGTTCCTAATGACTGGAGCGGCGACGAGGCCCGAATACCATATGACCTTCCCGCGCTTATAAATCACGCGGCGGCAATCAGACAGAATGACCGACATTAGCCTAACTAAATCAAACAAATACTTTCAAAAGCCGCCCCGCAAAAACAGAGGCGAACGTAAATAAATCACCGCCATCAACAGGCCAGTACTAATTAAGGCCAAGCTTCGGGGCCGATTAGACCACCCGCAAGCGTTAAAGTGCACGATTCGACAGACGTCCGACTCACACAAGTTTGTCGCGTTTTTTCACAGTTGCGGGATAGTGTTGTCAGCGTGTCGTGAACTTGCCGTTAATTTAAACCACCTGGGGAGAGGGAAACTATGCAAATATTGGCAAGGTCTGGCCGGCACAAATGTTTGATATTTAAAGCTGATAGTTAATTGCGTGCTTGATATTTTGGCTGGCGCTCGTTTTCATTTTTTTTCTTCTTCTTATAAAGGCCTAAATAGGAGCTGGGTAATTTTGCCAAATGGTTTTCACATGATTTTGTCACGTCCGCATTTTGTACACAAAATCTTTTCTTTGACGCGCGATTCGAAGGTCGAGGAAGTATGCAAATATATGTAATGTTTACCACAGCAAGTGAAGGAATTTGCTGCACGCGGCCGCTACCCGATATTTTTTTTTTTTTTTTTTTTTTTGGGGGGGGGGGGGGGGGGGCGGTTCGCAACAACGTGACAAGGAAGTGCTGTTGAAAAGACGCTCTTGTTCTTCCATCCATTTAAATGTTCTTCGCCGTAAACCAAAGCGTATGATAAGAAACGGCTCGGCATTAAATTGTCTGCACTTGTTTGTTTATAGCTGCCTCCGAGTCTTCTACATCTCACATTTTTTTCCCGGCGCGTCTTTCATGCCTTGCTCTTTCGTTTGTCTTTTGTTTTTGCCGCGGGAGCCGAAAACCTATTTCCCCGGAGCACCAAGCCTTAAAAATACACAAAAAGAAAAAAAACATATACGATCGAATAAAGTGGGAAAAAATAACAATAATAATAATTCGGAACGCCTTGCCTTCACGTCTTCTCATTGCCCCAGTCTTAGATCAACAAATAGCCAAGTGTACACACACACACACGCACACATACACACACACAAGCCCAATTGATTAACTTACCATGTTTTGTGTATAACTGTGAGTGTGTGCGTGTACACCATTATACGCATGTGTCATGTGTGCTTGCATGAGTCAGCAAGCTTGTTTGTCAATGCACCGAGAAGAAGGATTTGCATATGTCCTTTCGAGAATTACACCACTCTGGCAAGCACGGTAACCTGAGAAGTTGCACGGGCAGCCTTCAACCGGGCGGGGACTGTGGTTAACGACAGCCCTAATCCCGTCGCGCGGAAAAGTAGGGAAAGGGAGGTAGCCGTCAGTTCCTCCCCGACTGATTCGGTATTTGTGGCAAGAATTACCATCAAGCGCCGTCCGTGGAGTGCGGAGTGATGCGGAGAGTTCTTGGTATTCGTAACGGTTTGTCAGTGGATTTCGTCTGTTTTTCAAGTCGGATGGCGAGGTTGTCGTTACTCTGCGTTTCGTACTTATCACGACCGTCTTCATTATTGCTAAGCCAATTTCGCTCATCTGATTTAGAGTTCTGTAGAATCCTTCGCATATCTATGCTAATTCTAATTCTGATCATACCATCTTGAAAGGTATCCAGCACACGGAAGAATGAAATTAATAATCCAAAGATAATAAAATGAACAAGGAAACGATAATAAAGTAGCCGATCCCGAAGGGCGATAAAAGCGCTAATTTCTCGGCCCATACGTAACCAATCAATCGGCAATGAATCAGTCACTCGGCCCTCACTGCATCGTTAACTTTCCCCATAAACGTCTTTTCGGCCGCACAATTAACCTTAATCAACCCATGTGTCTTGAAGTTGACGAATGCCAATTAAATGAATGCCAGTGAAACGCAGGGGACGGACTCGGCGAATAGTTAAAGAAAAAAAAAAGGGGGCTCCTTACCATTAAGGTTGGCGGAAAGCGAAAAGGAGAACAAAGAAGATAAAAAAGAAAGAGGGACGGCAAAAAACACGCATTTGCAGGATTCACGGATTCCTCTTCAAGTGGACCCGCAGCCAACGACTGGTTCCTGAGTATAGGTACATTGTCCGCGGTTACCGATACGACGAGCTGATTACGGCCGCGCGGAAGCCCATTTGGACGCTGATGAAGGCGCTGAAGAAGGGTTTAGAGCGGCGCTTTTTACCTGCGACTTGTTCCGGCGAGACAGGATCTTTAAAAAAGTCGGTCGGATGTACTAAATCTGAATTCTTGTCATGAAATTGGATAGTTTGGGTGTACGTTTGCTATGTTTAGCTCGGTAATGGATGCGTGAGGACCCAGGCGATTTTAACTCCATCTTCTGTGAATATCGTTATTAAGTAAATATCAGATATTGCTGAGGTTAGCTGCATTACGCGGATGGACAAAAAGCTTCGTATTAATACTGACTTTGTGATTTGTGTGTATCCGTCCATAATACTGACACTAATGGCAATAACACTGACTGCTAATAATCTCGGTGAAAGTTTGTGCTACTTCCTCAAACGTAATGGTTACCTCTAGTGGAATATTTTTCCGCCACTGCGCTCGCACAACATAATGAGTTAGGAGAAACGGAAACAACAATAAAATACTGACGCAAGGGGAGCAGTATAATTGAATGCACGCCGTTCTCTTCCGAAAGAGTTCGTTAATACGGGCGAAATACCCTTCCGAAGTCCTTGCGTCAGTACTTCTGACCATACACAAAAACAACAAACAAACTACAAACATACTAATACAAACACATGATCATTCGCTTACCTTCTTGACGATCTCTTCCGTGTTCATGTTGCTGTACTGGTCGAACTGCTGCTGTGTGATGGGCGGCAGGACGGCCTTCAGGGGCTTCTGAGTCAGGGGAGAGCCGGTGGAAATGGGCGGCCCCGTCATGAGCGAGTTGGTGATGGACGCCATGCGCTGAAGGGGCGACGCCGACACGCTGAGGTCGTCCCCACTGGTCGCTGCGATGGAGGTGATGGGAGTTACAAGGTTGCTCAGAGGCGTGGTGGCCGAGCTGAGATCTGTGGATGGAATGGAGTGGAATGGAGGTGCGTGATTGCGTACACAGCGGGGATGAGAGTCAACACGGATCCTTGCGTGTACTCGAGGAGTGCCAAGGTGTCTAAACACAGGAGAGAATGCTTTTACGGAGACTGGTTCACGAAGGGAAAGGTGAATCAAACAAGGAGTGGCGACAGGAACCGGGGACGAGGGAGGGAAGGATGGAGAGAGAGAGAGAGAGAGAGAGAGAGAGAGAGAGAGAGAGAGAGAGAGAGAGAGAGAGAGAGAGAGAGAGAGAGAGAGGGGAGAGAGAGAGAGAGAGAGAGAGAGAGAGAGAGAGAGAGAGAGAGAGAGAGAGAGAGAGAGAGAGAGAGAGAGAGGGGGGGGGGGGGGGAAGAGAAATCCCATATGAAGACAAGACCACAATTCAAAGGACTGTGATTAGTGGAGAAGCTTCGACGTGGGTGCTCGCTTGGCCCTCATGCGAGCGAGCGATCTCTTGCATCTCGAGGGAGTGAGTGAATGGCTCGAGTGGTTGCTAGGATGTGCTATGAAGGGGCGAGGGAGTGGGGCAGACTGGCCCACGACCTCGCTCTGAACAGAACTCATCAGCAACGGGGAGGTGAGAGATGTAAATAAGAAAAAAAAGGTCCCATGCTCTTAAATCTGCCCACGATGGCGGTGGGAAAGAGACGCGACAAGAAGTGAGAGAATGAGGGTGTGCTGCGTCCTAATGGGGATCGCATGAGATAAGGAAATGGCGGTGTTATCATTTTTATCTGCAGGGAATGGTGTGAGAATCGTACCAAAAAAGAACGGAAGAAAAAAAATGGTATGACTTGGCAACGCTTGGCTTTCTGTGCTCTCTCGTCGTAATATAGTGTAATTACATACTCTGATAATGATTCTGATCCGCTGCTCTGTTTAGCCGATTGAAAAAAAAGACAAAAAAAGACAAACAAAGCCATCGACCCGAATTTACTCTAATATCTTTGCGGGAAAAAAAGCCAACAGACCTCTCCCTAAAGGAAACTAAAATGACTACAGATCCTATATGTGCGTACGTTCTTTACCTTATATACCCTGAGACGCTCTACATCATTACCGAACCCGACTTTTTATCCCCCGACATCTTGATCCGGCGATAGGAACAGTATGTGGCACAGCTGCATAAACAATCCAAGATTCTCTTAATTGGGCATGATTTACACCCGCCCTCTCTCTGACCTTCGCTCTCCCCATTGTGCCTCTCTTTGGAAACGCTTTTGCTAATAAAGGAATCTGCGTGATTAGTCTCCTTGTGATTATTGATGCTTTGGTGTTTGTATCGATGCAGGTTAGAAGTTATCTTTAAACTTGCTTATTGTGGGGGATGTTTGTCTACGGTCTACTTATTGAAACTTGACATGTCCCACGCGTCTCTTAAATCAAGATAAACTCCCGATCAAAATACATATATGCAAGGGGAAAGAAGGCAAATTGCCCTTGCGCATAAATGCAAATAGCAAACAAAACAGACCAAGCAATATGACAAAATGGTCCCCTTAAAATTCCAGGAAATTGCAAAAACCGTAAGTTGCCACCAGACACCAAGTGCTGCCATCTGCCCGCGCGTTTTTTCACCAAACGGAGATGATATATTTACTGACACTGGGGAGAAGGATGAGGTCAGCATCGAGTTGCTTATACTGATGTCACACAAACCGGATTTTACCCATATGATACTGAAGCTGAACCCCGACAAGCAAGCTAGAATTACGAGCTAGCTGGTAACACCGAAGTCCCTCGTCTCTGAAATTGTCAATAATTCATGGGAGCTGAAAGTCATAATTATTTTATCAAGTTTTAACAACGATATTAACTGACCAACTTAATCTTGTTATACTCAATTTCAAATGCACATTTCTCCATATGATATAGCACTTCGTCTGTGGCTTGTAAACGTATTTTTAGACCAGCAGACTGCAAAATAGGGTTCATTATATCATTTGTTCACTTGCATCTGCTGCCGCCAGTTGTTGGGGGAAATTATTGTGGAGGAGTCCATTACTACCCAAGGAAGAATAAAAAGCTAACTAGTGAATAATTTGCAAATAAAATATTCCATCCGACACATTTCAGGATCGAAATTCAACCGGTGTAGTTCTTTTCACTCCTTGCTTTGTAATGTTCTTCCTATTTTACATCTTTCTCGCCTTCGAGGTGTTCGTGTAAAACCAAACCTCGAGCATTCACATATATATGCCGCAAATAATTTAGTGAAGCAAGCACATATGCGCTTAATAAATTAGAACGACGACACAAAACAAGACAGAATGGGATGAACTGGAACAGACAAACAAGTGAATCAGTTATGCAAATAAGCAATAAAGAGTTACGGCCGCGGGGTTGCCAGCTGCTCGACAAATTCACATTTTATCATCCACCTCTCAGGAAATCCACCTGATTCAAGTGCTTCAAATTCACGCCGGTCTATAAATTGTACTTAATTAATAAATGAATAGGAATTAAGCTCGTCATCATGATGAAGAAAGTGGATGAAAGAAAGATAAAAAAAAAGAAAAAAAAAACTCTGGGAAAATGTAGATTTGGCACTAAATCCTAATGACCAATTTTGATACAAGTAACTTCTGTATCTTGCGCCAGACCTCCCCCCCCCCCATCCTTTTCTACTTCCTTTTTTTTTTTTTTTCTTTTTTGCAAAATCAAGTAGACGACACAGCATGACATCTATTGGAAAAGGATCAAAGATGGCTGACAGTTATGTGCCCATAGATCACTGCTGTCAGCTTGATAGATGAACACTACACTCGCTTGATCTTTCACCTTGAAGTTCAATATAAGATGACATGAATTCCGATTTTAAAAAGTCTTCTAATTGGCCAACAGCACTTACGCTTCTTCGCCTGTCTGTTTGTCTGTCTGTCTGTCTGTGTCTTTTTCTCACTGCGTGTGTGTGTGTGTGTGTGTGTGTGTGTGTGTGTGTGTGTGTGTGTGTGTGTGTGTGTGTGTGTGTGTGTGTGTGTGTGTGTGTGTGTGTGTGTCTCTCTCCTCCCTCTTCTCTCTCTTCTCTCTCTCTCTCTCTCTCTCTCTCTCTCTCTCTCTCTCTCTCTCTCTCTCTCTCTCTCTCTCTCTCTCTCTCTCTCCCTCCCCCCCCCCCATCTCTCTCTCTCTCTCTCTCTCTCTCTCTCTCTCTCTCTCCCTCCCCCCCATCTCTCTCTCTCTCTCTCTCTCTCTCTCTCCCTCTCTCTCTCTCTCACGGCGATAGCTTCACATTACGCGAGAAAGAGGATAGGAGTCCCTGACAGACACGTCAAGGAGACCGGCGTGGGACTCCATCGGTAGAGCGGGTTATACAAATTATACGCGTTCGTAGAAATAACGTCATTTTTAAGGACTTATTTTTTTCAGCGGTCAGGAAATCGTGACGTCATGATTTGAATATCCAAGATGTCCATCTAAAGCTTTAGTAAATATACACATTAGATATCGTGATCGATTTTCGTCTTCGCAGAAACCAGACTAAATTTTGGAAGCCAATGTATATATCATTTATCAAAATGTTGATATGACAAAAGAATTCATGTCCTAGTTGACGTTTGATTCTATTGGGAGACGCACAGCTACACATTCTCCGTGTGTGGAAACGGAATCTAATCTGGGCGAAGTTTAACGTCGTGATTTCGGAGAAACTTCTAAAATAGGTCTTAGGTCTTAGTCCGAACTGCCTCGCATGCAACACGATCATTGAGTGGGTCACAAACAGACTTCAATATTACTGGACTCCTGTTTCTATCTCTAGTAATCTATCTATTGCATTATTTCCCCCGCTTTCTTTTCTTCTTGCCGTTTCTCCTATTTTCGGCGAAAGGTGATATGAAGATAAGTACCGTAGCTACTTGTTGAGTCGAGGAGTGTGAAAAAGGTTTAGGCATCTCGAAGATTTATGACACTCTTCTACAGGAAACTGGATCTGATCGTACATATCAACGTCACAGAAGAGAAACAAAATGCTTATATTAGTTTAGTCCTTTATCTAACCCTCTGGCTCACTGCTCAACCGCCTGCTAGCTTTGGTATATAATTCGAAGTATGTAAACAATTGCCGTAGATTTATTGTAAGCAAGATGTATAAAATAACTATATGATCATCAGTAATTTGATGACTGAATAATGTTGCATGAAATAATGTAAAAAAAACATCCCTAGGTTCTAAACCGCGTTTCATTTATTTTCTTTATCCCATTTATGTGAGTAATCGAGAGGAAGTCTAAGATTATAGTGTCTGCACAGATAACTATACGGGGTCTTGATACGTCATTTTACTGTTATTGATGATGATAACTGTTTTATGGACTTATAACAAAGGATTTCCTGCCATTGCACATTTTCACTATTTTATCTTGCATTTTTTATTTGTTTCCTTGTTTCCAAAACAATTACAGTCTGATATGTTATCGCAGGTAATAACGATAAAAAATAGCGAGAGAAATAACAATGACAGCAATAATAACAAAAAAAAGGCAAAGATTATGATCACGTTTATAGGAAATGACAGACGATCTCTCGCTTGAGATTGTTATCAGATTCACAACGAAAAGTCTTAAACACCGCTGTGTAAACAACCGAGCAGCGCGCATGAAAAAATAAATGACGAACGAAAAAATTATATACACTAAACATATACTCTCCCTATCGTAACGGATAATCTACAAGTCCTCATTTTTATATATATTTTTTTTCTCTCTCTCAAAAGAAAAAGGCTCCGTGAAAAAAATGGTCGGGTGGACATCCATTTTCATAATTTGCTGGCATATCCGATCAGCAACAATGCACAGGTGATACTAACGGATTGCAACTTGATATTGAGTGATGTGGGCGGCAGTATAATGAATAGGGCGCTAAGCAGTGATCTATTATGACAGAGCGGGCATAGTCGACCAACCAGTGATCAGAGAAAATGGTACATTTGGGTCTTTTAGCGTAGTGGCGAGATGTTCTAAGCCTCCCATGTGAAAAGGTGAGATTTCTTATTATATTTCTAAAATATAAATGTAGAAAGAAAAACGTGATATTAATACAGAGAAGAAAAATAACAAGAGTTGCCAAGTGAATAACGACGCCATATGGTTCCAGGAAGGTGATTTTAGACAGGCCAAGAGTGTCAGGTGTTAATGAATAATAATATAAATCTGTCTTGTATATCCACATGCATTTTGTTTAACATCATTAAACATACAAGACATCGGGAAATTCTCTTCATGCGTGTGTGTGATAAAGCGTTGTGATATGTAGATGATGTAGTGATATTGATGATTATCTCTTTATACTACACACACACACACACACACACACACACACACACACACACACACACACACACACACACACACACACACACACACACACACACACACACACGCACACACACACAGATACATACATAACATGTCCGTGTCAACATCGACATGGTTTGATTACTTACACAGAGCCATATGGTGACTTGACAGTTTTACATCCCTTAATACGCTTATATGGTTGTTTGAACTGTTTTGTGGATTTCACGCCTCTCTCTCTCTCCTCCCTCCCTCTCTCTCTCTGTCTCCCCGTCTCTCTGTCTCTCTCTCTCTCTCTGTTTTTTTTTTTCTTTCTCACTCTCTCTCTCTCTGATTTTTTTTCTTTCTTTCTTCTCTCTCTCTCTCTTTCTTTCTCTCTCTCTCTCTCTCTCTCTCTCTCTCTCTCTCTCTTCTCTCTCTCTCTCTCTTTCTCTCTCTCTCTCTCTCTCTCTCTCTCTCTCTCTCTCTCTCTCTCTCTCTCTCTCTCTCTCTCTCTCTCTCTCTCTCTCTCTCTCTCTCTCTCTCTCTCTCTCTCTATCTCTCTCTCTCTTTCTCCTTCCAATAGAACTGCGTAGTGAGAAGGTACTTACTGGTCTCGGCCTTGGATCTGCTGGGTCCGAAGGGGGAGGTGACGCTCGGGTTGCGTCCTTCCTCCTCCTCGTCTCCGTTCCTCTGCTCGCGCTTGGGCATCGTCAGGTCTTGGGCGCCGTTGTGTAGGCCGCCCGCACCGAGTCCCACGCCCATGCCTAGCGAGGGACCTCCGACGCCTACACCGAGGCCTCCGCCGCCGCCTATGCCTAGGCCTGTTGTTGATGGGCAGAAATATCCGTGGTGAGAATTGTTGATTTATTATTTAGCATTTCTGTGAGGAGGAATGATTGTATAATGTAATAATACGTCGGGCGGATGCTTTACTCACCAACCGCGCCGAGGCCCATGCCTGTGACGGCAGCATTTCCCTGAAGCTTGCTCAGCTCCTGGTGGTAGGCGTCGAGGGCGAGTTTCACCTCCTCGTGGGATCTGTTGAACAGCAGCGACTGGCCCAGGAAGGGGAACAGGATCCCCGGGTACTGGGGGTCTCGCGGGAGCGGGAGTTGGGGCTCCTGAGGCCTTGACATGAGCTTGACAAGTTCCTCCTGGTAGATTCTTGCCACCTTCTCTTGCGGGATGTCGTCGTTGTCGTATTTGCGGATCCGCGACCGTGAATCTCCCCGGGACAGCGGGCTACTGGAGGAGGACGAAAGTTGGAACGTTAACATGAAGCCCCGGAGAAATCTAAAGACATTTGGAATTAGGAAAGATTTTTCCTTAATCCATTCCATGTTTCATTTCAACACATGAGTTTGAAAAAATGCTTAATATTCACTAAACAGCTTATTCATATTCAAATGCGACATCCAAAATCGCGGCATGAAAAGCCATCCATCACACTCGAGCCTAAGTCTAATCCCACGTACAAACTCATCCGAGCATGAGCGGCGTGCGTGCGCGGAAGTCCTCACCTGGGGGAGTGCGTGGAGCTGGCGGGAGACTTGGAGTCCGTGCTACGAGAGTCCTGGTCCTGCTGGCCCGCCTGGCTGGTGGCCGTCGAGGAGGTCATGGCGCGAGAGGCTTCGGTCAGGATATGTTGGATTCTCTCCTCCGTCACACTGTCATCGGGGCCCCGGAAAGCTCCGCTGGAGTCCTTGTGCGTACCTGTCAGGAGACCTGCACACTTAGTGTTAGGGCACTCAAACGCCCCGGCCAGGGCCATTGGCCAACGCCGGAAGAGTGTCATTTTCTTAATGCTAAAGAGAACAACATACAAAGAAAACCATCAAAGAATAACGCTTTCTTCGAGCGTCACTTTGCGCAGCGGAGCAACAAACACCCTATCAGCAAAACAAGCTGCAGGCTGCGCGCGTCAACACAGGGCGAGGCGCGCCCGAGATTGCCGTGAAGCCTAATGACACACGAGAATAATTTAGGCAACATCAAGTCCCACCCCGGTAGTTGACTCCTTCACCCGAGCACGCAAGAGGTCCATCACCAATAATTCTTGTAACGTGAAGACCCGGCGATGTCCTCCGCTGATCGCTCCCTACTAAGGCGCAGAGGAAGGCGTTTTTTGTGCATTATCTTCTTATGCGCTTTTTTATCCCACTTTTAATGCTTGTCGTTACCATTTCCTTCTTGGGGGAGAGGGTCGGCATTAGTATTTGCGCCTCGAGGGGGTTTGTTATATTTCTGTTCTCATAATCCAGGAGGAAATTGGTTGGTGGATACTTGTTAAACAGACGACGCCCATAGTTGCCTCGCATACCAACGCGGCAAAGTCACTCTGATTAAGAGTTACCAATTCGAAATCCTTTTCTTTTCCCTCACTCCTTCCCCTTCTTTCAAGCCCTCACAAGCGACTCACTTCCTCTGAACCGTCTCAGGTAAGCAGAGACCCCGCCCTTCCGCCCTTGCTTCCCTTTCTTTCTGCATCGCACGATTCGAAAATGATTTAGTTCGGCTCAACACGGGAAGGGGTACGGTCATCGATTCATCTTCATTGGGAGACAGCGAGCGGCGATGAGTAGTGGGAAACATATTCAACCGCAGTTCTTTTCTTCCTCAACCGATTCCGAGCGTGATCCATGACCTACGAGAACCAGAATCTATCGTTCGTGGCTTCGGTAACCTCTGGTGAACCCCGGGTTTCCGAGTCGCCCTCAATCAGCAAGGATAAAAGAAATCCTGAAGGCTCCTGACTCAAAGGAGGATCCCGGGCTCTCATTTTCTCCGCGGCGAGGGGGGACTTAGAGAAACTGACTGACAGCCTGACGCGTAGCCAATACCTGAGGCGGAGAGGTTCTCACTTACTGGTCGTTGCGCCTTAGAGGGGGTACGGCGAGGTCAGTGGGGTCAGGAAGGAAGGGGTAAATCGGGGTTTAAAGCCGAGGTGATAGCATAAAAACTTAGCAAGATAATTTACTGGGAAACATTCACTGATTGTAGCTTAACGGGTTTTAGTATTGGTGATACGGGTCAGCGGTTGTTGTTGTTTCTCCACGGAGAATGGCGCATTGTGCGACTTTCCATTCGAAACTGTTGATTTTTGTTATATGAAATTCCTATAATCTATGTCATTTGACAATTTCCCTGTATCGAGAACAAACCGCGACAACATAAAGACTTATCGAAGCGAAACCACAAATGTTGCACGGTGTGCCACTGTCAACACTCGTCACCACAATGACCGCCGCAAGGATCACACTCACAGCTGTTCCTCGCCGGAGCATTCACCATCACTCACGGCAACACCTTCACCGTTATCATTACCACACGTATCCTCCGCGCCACAACTTCACGGGTATATTAACTAGTGCATGGTATAACCGGGGAAACATATGAGTTCTATCTGAACACCTTTGTCCGAGACACCATCGACGCCGGAGACTGTACCCTGACCGCTTCTCACCCTTCCCTCACTCACCCTTCTCTCGTCGCCCCACCCCTTCCCTCGCCACCCTTCCCCTCCTCACAAAGCCCTCGCTTTTCGCACTCTTTTCCCCACATCTCCCATACCACACTTCACCCCTACGATACCCCTAACCTCCCTCCCCCCCTCACCCTCTTCTTCCCTTCAAACCTTCTCTTCCCCTTCGCCTACCCCTTCCCTCCCTCTCCCCTACTCGGCGTACCAAGAACAACAGAAGCTGACGATTGCAGCGTCTCGAAACCGCGCAAAAGGAAGACAGTAATGAGCTTAATCTCAGTAATTAATATGCAATCCGTGGCTGGCTTTGGATCCGGTAGTCACAGAGGCGATGGCGTGATTGAAGAAGGAGAACCACATGAAAGAAAAAAAGGAAGAGAAAAAAAACAAGGAAGGGGAGAACTAGAAAAGAGAATTTCCGTGGGAGGAAATGAACGGCAAAAAAACAGGCTCGTATGAAAATGTCGACACAAAATAACAAATAGGAAGAGGAAAGCAAGTTGAAAATGAGGAAAGATGTAATGGTAAGTAAAATGAACAGACTGGCGCAAGAGCAGAATGACACATTAGCAGTTGTATGTGGAAATGCATTGGAGGTAAAAAGAAATAATAATAATTACACTAAATATAACGTACAGAATATATGCAGAAAGAAAGCAATCTCACCCCAAGAACGCGAAAAACAGGAAAAAATATAAGACATACGATTATATCATCAAAGTAATAAAACGATTACACATAATATTAGAAGCAAAACAAAATCCGAGACACAAATGAGTAGAAAGTTTCGTCGGATTTTTTCCCGAATTGAGGAAAGGCGACAGAGGGAGACACTTATAAGGCAAGCGACCCTCCTTTAGGAAAAAAAGAAAAAAAAGAGCTTTCGAATCGTCTGTGTCGTGGAGGAGGTTGAACGTGATACCAGAATACGACTGGGCATATCGCTAATGTATGTCTTTTGGAGTCACATTTCGGCCCTGGCTCAGCCAATGGCGAGGAGCCACGGTGGAAATAACTCAAGAAAGGAAGTCTGTGATACCTACAATTAAATAGTAATGCCCGGGTCCGTCAAATGATAATGGTGAAGTTGTGGGGTTATTGCTAGCCTAAGATTGATCATTGGCCTCGAACTGATTGCTATGTTGCCGAACGAGCAGCCCGGTAATCTACCCCAATCAACCTTTAATCAGCCTTCAATCAACCTTACTATGACATGATTTTTGACGAACAATATGCAGTCCCGACTTAATATTGGTAGATTATTGGGAAACCGGCCAGAATGAACCAAAAAGAACCTCAAAAGAAAAAAAAAAGGGGGGAAAAAAGTTCCGGACATAACTCCCTGGGTTCGTGGGTGCCATCTGGTGTGAGAGGTACATGCAATATCGCCTATAATGTAAGCATAAAAACTCTTCAATGCGGTTTTTCAATTGCATGCAACATACACGAGGAGTTATAATATGATTGCCAGATGTCGTGATTCGCCGACCGATATAGATTACGAAGGATATTGGCTTTTCTTATTATTACTGTATTTTATGACTCACGGCGCTGATTCTTTTGATGCGGCCGGTTACTTTATCATTTTATGATTATATGACCTTTTTATATGTATGTGGACGTACATATATTGCACATCCTAACTGCAAAATCTTATTGCAATCTTGGAAAATCATATTGTCTGCCGGAAGTGAGTATGATGTCCGTTCTGGTGGAACTTAAATCATATCGTAAAATGGAAGCCAAAAATAATTCACGAAAAGCATGGCCGTAACTTATAAAAGAATTTCTAAACCTCTATTAGGATTTAAACAAAAATAAATGTATTGTGTATATTTTATATATACACATATATAATGCATATATGCAATATACATACACACACACACACACACGTGTGTGTGTGTGTGTAGTGTGTGTGTGTGTGTGTGTGTGTGTGTGTGTGTGTGTGTGTGTGTGTGTATATATATAGTATATATATATATATATATATATATATATATATCATGCATATTTATGTGTGTTTATATTTATATATACATGAATGAATATAAGGAATATGAATATGTGTACATATACACACGAGTGCGCGCGCGCGTGTGTGTGTGTGTGTGTGTATGCGTGCACACTTTCATGGCTTTTTAAGCTTTCCCAAGTTGCAGAAAACTTCCCGCCAGAGCGAGGCTGAACCGCAGGCTGAATGCGAGAGCAGACGGCACGAAGCCCTTTAACAGCCCAGCGAGTCTGTAGTCTGCAGCAGCGCCCGGCGAGCTTAGAGAGCCATGTGGGCAGACCCGTAATTAACAAGCGGTAAATGTCAGCTTCATCAGCGTGTCGAATGGGATGAGGATTGTATACCTCGGTAATATTCCTAATTCGCTGACAGTTGGCCTGGAGGGGCCTGACGATACCCGTCACAATACAGGCTCGCCCCGTCTACAGCTCATGCGCGAATTTCTGGATAATATTTACTATATATGAAAAGGTAATTCCCACGTTATATCTCAGAATTCGTCCACGATTTCCATTATGTTAAATAGAGAATAAATACACAATACAAAACCACGATATTGAAAGGAAAATAATAATAATATTGCCATTCGCCCCCGTCAAAACAGGACACAAAACGAAGCCCCCCGGTGGTAATATCCCAGGAGGAATCCTAAAGAAAACTGACCAAGGGAGAACTTTCCCCGACTGCGGATACGAAAGCAGACTTGAAATTCACAAGAAGCGATGCCAGTCTATTGTAATGTTGCCGGAGATTTGTTGAACCGGGAGGTCAGATAGGTAAAGGCAATGGTCTAAGACTTAAAGGGAGAACCATTGAGATGCATGTAAGGCGTCGAGTAATAGCGCCCCTCACCTTGTTCCTATCAGTCAACGTCGTGGACTGATACACCGACATTGGGTGGGTCTTCTGGCGCTGTGCGAACAAGGCCACACCGGCGCTTTATCCGAGTCTTCGAGCGTTGCGGCCGCGCGTCTCGATACCTTATGTGAACACTATTTTAGATGCTGAACTAATACCAACTATCGATATCTGAATTGGCAGGCTGTGATGAGAGGGGCGGGCAGTCCCTATTATTACTGATAAAAAAGGGCTAAAGAAATACCACCACACGATGGTACAGCGTTTGAGGCTAAAGAACGTTTTGCTGTGTATTTTCTTCTCTTGTTGGTGAAAATTGGTTTAAGGAAGAGAGACTTGCCTCACGACACATTTTATGGTTTATGTGAACAT